GCATGAAAATGCAGATTTTGCAACTGAATCTTTTAAAATTGATAAAAATGATATGACCCTTAATTATCACACATAATCAGGCATTAACTGTAAGAGCATAGGCAGTCGTCAGCATCATCTTATGAACAGGATTTTTGCCATACCAGTTTTATTGCTCTTCACGAATGAGAGAGGAGGTTTAATTTGACCACATCAATTCCTCTCATTATATTTTTCCCAGGGTTATAAGCAGAAAGATGTTGCCGTGGTAACCCAGGCCCCTCTTCCCAACACTGTCTTGGACCTCTGGCGTCTGGTTTATGACTACCAGATGACCAGCATCGTCATGCTGAATGCAATGGACCTCAGTGATTCCGTAAGTTATGAGATGACTTTTGAATATTTGTTGTTTAGCAAAGCCTTATACAGTATCTGAAACATGTAGCGATATGTTTTGTTTTACTTTGGTTCATGACCTGTAAGGGGAAAAGAGTTTATGGGTATGATTTTGAATTTCTTTAAATGCTTCAAATTTGCCAATTTTTAAAAAACTTTGGAAAGGTTTGTTGCCCATAGAAGTTCCATTCCTGTACTCCATAACTGCCTACGCAGTATGACATTTAAACACACATACTTTGCCTTAGTCATTCCATGGATGATGTGTACACTTGTTTAAGAATTCTTTTTTCATCTCGGGGGTTGACGTATTGATGCATCGTGCTTGATTAGGTCAAAGCACGGTTGCAAGGTTGAAGAATTTGTAGGTAAGAAAACTGCCCCCAGCAGCTTCTGCGGGTGAGAAAATTCGAAGTTAACTGGCTATAGCTTAACTTTTAACACTAGACGTTTGACTCGCTTGTTGTGTAAATTGCTTTAATCCCAGCAATCACTGATATTTGTTACCTGCTTGATAGTGATGTCATTGCCTGTTTGCAGAGTTGTCCCCAGTACTGGCCAGATGAAGGCAGCCAGGACCATGGTCTGTTCACTGTGACTGTTGCCAATGTAGTCAAATTTGACGGTTACAATGTCAAACTGATGAAGCTGGAACACCGGCGCCAGAAGGTAAGGAAGCCGTGGAAGATGATGAGCTGGATAAGACAAGCGCAGTGCTGGGTGCTTGTGTGTGGCTTGTAGGCAGTGCTATCGACGGGTGGCTGGGATAATTAACTTGCAGCTGAAATGCTGTCTCGCTTTTAGGTTGGTGCTTCGGTGAACCCAACAGAACTCACCCAAGGGCCTTCAGGACAGGAAGGATTCATTCTCAATTTCACTGCTGATGATTTCATTGAGACAAGACCACTTTTGACAGTGTATTTGGGGGAAAGTAGACACATCTGCAGGGTAACGTGAATTTGCTTTGCTTAAAAATTTGCCAACTTGCACATTTTGAAGGCGTGCAACCCAAGTTGGAGTTTTTGTGTTCAAATCAAATGAATTTATTATTGTGTGATACCGCATGTCACGATGACAAAAGGATGGCTTGTTGCGAGGTAACATGTACCAGATGTCAACATGAAGTTTGAAAGTGTCCTCTTTGGGGTAGTTGCTGTATCTTGAATGGTCAGTCCAACAATTATAAGATGTTGCAAAATACCTTCTGTTTTGGGTGATGAAGTTGAGCATAGTTTTTATCAAAGTCTTAGTAGGTAAGATATTAATTCCAAGTTGTTTCGAATGCACCATAGCATTTTTCCCTCATGTCACAATTCAAATTATGTTTAATTTCTGTCAGTTGAGATTTTTCTGTCTGTAAAAATCCTCTAGTTGTGATTTTTCTACTAACAACGGGCTAACCTTTTTTCCATTACTCCTAAATTTTCTGTCTTCCTCTCTCATGTTGTTCCCTGTGCATTCCTTTCGTTTTGTTAATTCTCTGTGTCTGTTTCAACTTCACCTACTTGCGTTGTATTAGTACATGTACCTTGCTAAAATCTCTTCTCTTTGTGGTCATGGCTCCTCCAAACTTACACGGTTTCCGGCAGAGGGTCTGTCTTGTAGTCCTTCTTCTACCAACCCTGTGCTGTCTGCTGTCTGTCCATGGTGAGTTGTCTGAATAACATCCTGTCAAAGCAAGCCATACATTGATGTTGTTGGCAAATTGGTGCGAAACGTTAGCTTGCTTTTTAATTTCCCTCATGTCTTGCCAACCCTACCCCTTGTCGCCCCTAGGAAACCCCACAAGCTTCCCATGTGTTATTTGTGTTCCCCTTTACCCTCGTCACTAGCTTTCAAGTTGGCCTCTTCAAGTCACACCTTGTCATTGCAGCTCCCCCCGTTGAAAGCTCAACTTCTTCAGACCGCCTATTTGACAGGCCCTCTCCTCACTTTGTCAGTCTACAACACTACATCTCCTGCCTCCAAAACATCCCAGCCCTGGCTGCACTTCCAAGAACTTGCATCCCCTTTGTTCCCCAGATTACGTCACTGCAGTGCAATCAGCAGCTGCTTTCAGATCTTAGTCGTTCATTGACGGAAACTTTGAAAAGTAAAACCTTGAAACATGGAATATCCTGTTACAGTATTCAAAAAGTATACGCCATTCCATTCATGTATAGTATTGTACACTTGTCTTCCTTGGTGTTAAATGTACCTGCCAAGGTCATCAGCAATAATTAAGGACTCCACAAGAATTCAGGACTGTGGTCACAATTACTATTTTGGGTCGAAATTGAAGATTTCAAAATGTTCTTACATGTTGCCCGTTTGCAACAAGTCAAGTCTGGTTTACACTCTGGTTGGTGGTTTGTTGATGACAGAGGTCGCAGTATTTGAAGCACTACCAAGTAACTGATTGGCCAGTGAATCAGGAGATGCCCAAGTCACCAAGCACGCTGCTCCATCTCATCTTGACTGTAGAGAAGGAGAAAGAGAAAGGAAAACACTCACCGATCCTTGTCCACTGCATGTGAGTGTTGCATATTCAATCCAAAAAGAATGAGTTCTGAGCATGTGTTTATTCCTTCACTGACGAAGTGACATAACAGAAATCACTTTCATCAAGAGCATTGAACAAGCCATATTTGTCCGAAGCCTATGCCTCCAGGGAGGCCTCATCACATTTGAACATATGCGATGATATCAGCATTTATACATAAGTTTAAAATTTATTATACTTCCCTTTTCCGGCTCTTTGTCACAGAGACGGCCTAAACCGCAGCGGTGTTTTCTGCGTCCTGAAGAATTCCCTGGATAGGCTGCATCAAGACGACACGGTGGACATCATGCAGACCACCAAGGTCTTGCGACTGAATCGCCCCAACATGCTCAACGACCTGGTAAGTTGGAAGTCATTTGATCACTGCTGTAGCCAAGTCTGTCACAAATCCCTGCAAGTCTGTCACAGGTTGTCCAGTCTCAAGGCAAGTCGCAAACTGCTCAAATGAACCATGACCAAAGTGTTCCTTCCCTCTGTTACTAGTGATTGGTTCTGTGAAAGGACTTGTGATGGGCTCAACTGAACAGTGGTGTCAGTGTAGCGTGGCTTTAGTGTACACTACAGCTATGCGCACTGGGGTGCGTCACCACCCACATGCATTTGGAAACTTGTAATTTTTTACTTCCATGCTACGCACACACAGAACCTTTACCGTTTCTGCTACGACGCCATGCTGGCCTACGTGAGTAATCCCGACGAGTTCAGGGTAGACATCATGCCGCAACCAGTCTATGAAAATATGCCCGCCAAGCAAGAGGAGAAGGCAACACCAGAGGAGAGCATCTACCAGAATGTAGAGAAGCCTCCAGAATCCAGCGAGGCTTGAAGGTGAAACATGCTGACAAAGCCAGAGGGGGAATGGGAGAGATACAGTCTGTGGGAGGGGGATGGGAGAGATA